GAGAGGGGAGGGAGGGGAACCAAGAGTAATGATCAACACATAACCACCCCCACCCCCACCCCGCCCCAGGGGGATGAACAAGAGAAACGTAGGGGAAGCAAGATGGTGGTAGGTGTAAGAGATGAAAATAATAATTTATAATTCATTAAGGGGTCCCGAGGGTGGGTGGGGGGAGAGAGGGAAAAAAGAGGAGCTGAAACCAAGGGCACAAATAAAAAGTAAATGTTTAGAAAATAATGATGGCAACATATGTACAAATCTGCTTTGATGTATGGATTGTTATAAGAGCTGTAAGAGCCCCTAATAAAATTATCTTTTAAAAAAAAGCTCGAACAATTTTGAACGATTGAACTGCTCAAATGTTTGAGATGTAAATTATGTGCCAATAACACAGTTGGGAAGGAAAAAAAAGCAAAGTGTCATTTGCATGATGAAGGTTATGAATAAACCTTCTGCCTATCTTAAAAACAACAATAAAAACTTAACCATCAAAGCTAGAAAGTTACTGTTGCTTTGCACCTCAGCATTTGTTACTGCCAGATGTACATCATTAATGTACAAAATAGATGAATAGATCTTTGACTGTTGCTGAACGTGCAAAATGTTGGACCATAAGATAGTCAACAAGTGAGGAGCAGGGGTAGTCACACATCCCTCCTCACTCTGTAAGGACCTTGCAGTCAAGACCGTGATTTTCAATTGTATTGCAGATGCTTGTGATATTTAAATCTTATTGAAATGGCCTCTTTCTTTGACTTCCATGATGATGTGTGTGGTAGTTATATAATTGTCTATTTGAGAGGATTATGAGTGAAGTGGTGGAGTCTAGTCTGTCAGTCGGATCACAGCCAGTGAGGCTTCTGTGTGGGCATGGCCTCCTGAGAATTCTGGGAAGTCTGGGATCTTCCTCCTTGGAGGCAGAAGACACCTCTCTCTCTCTCTCTCTCTCTCTCTCTCCTACTCCCTAGGAGACATGGCAGCTAACAAGACCTCTGAAGCTGGAGAAGCCACATAGAGACCCCTGCCGCACTGAGATGCTTACAACGCCTCTGGATCCAAAGACTTTTTGCCCACTGGCCTGTGGTCATCCTGCATTCGGTGTCATTGCATGTGTTTTGTGAGTCTGAAGACTACTTCATGGATTGCTATCGGACATATGAGCTAATGTCGGACTTATGGACTTGATCTGGACTGGGCTGGGATGTTTTCTTAGTGTTCGATTGCTCTTGTAGATAAACCTCTCCCTTATACATATATGTGTGCCCATGGAGTTGTTTCTCTGGTCTACCCAGATTAACACACCGTGTTTTCCTGAATTCTCTACATTCTGTACAAGAGTAGTTGTTCTTGGTCCTTGGCTATTCATCTTCTGAAGGCAAAGTTCTGTCATCAGCCTTCTCCTTTGTAGGGTTGCACTTGTGGTTTTCCATTGGCTTGTCTTTCACTATACATGCTCCAACTCTTCTCTTCCTCCTGAGCACGAATCTCCTGTTCAGTGGCCTGTTGCTTTGGATAGCCTCTGGATATCCCACCTGAAGGAGGAGCTGAACGTGTCTGAAACAAGATTCTTCCTCTCCAAGCCAACTTCTTCTCCTCCATCTGTTAAAAGAGCAAACTTCTCCTGGCTAATCAAACTCAAAAGGAGCCATGATGGCAGTCCCCACCAGGATTGATTCCTCTGGAGAACGAGGTAGTAATCTGCTCCCATGAAGGATCACAGCCTGGGAAATGCTGTGGGGGCAATTCTGCTTTGTCCTACAGGATGGCAATGACTCAGAATCCATTCAATGAGAATGCATTTGGGTAATCAAACTCACAGCCAGCCAGCCTTCCCCTCTTACACCAGTTCACCACCAAATCCTGGCTGAACTCTTCTTTGTTACTGTTTTCACCTAGTTCTTTCAATTCTATGCTTACAGTCACAGTCATAATGTAGCCTCTTATACTTCTTCATGAGCCCCTTGCTACTCCACACGGTCCTCCACCAGCAGCAGCAGCTCATGTTGGAAGTGCAGACTCACTGACTCCAACACCCAAGTCATTCATATGCTCCTTGAAGTTTGAGAAGCGCTGGCCGACACCACATCAATAAACTCCCGACTGGAAATCTGACTCCCGAATCTCCTTCCTCTCTTTAATCCATCCCACAGACCAGGGTTACATAAATTCCCTCTGGTCATGCGATTCTCTCTTAACTCAAACCCCTTCTATGATGCTACTGTCTAAGAAATAGCCCATATTTCTTAGAAAATAAGGCCCTCAGTCACTTTCCCAGTCTATTTCCCCTGACGTATGCACCCCGTTTCACTACTCGACCGGAGACACGGGATGTCATTAGTGAAGAGGAATTTAAACCAAGAATGGCTTTCTTTCAATCCTTTTCAGTTAACCTTTCTTCAATTGTGTTTCTATGTAATCAAAACCTCTGGTTCCTTAAACCTCTCTGCTCTCTATCGCTACTTGCAATCTGTCAATCTGCACGTCCTTCCTTCAGTGCATACTCAGACTAGAAGCCATTGACTGTCACTTTAACCGCGCTTGATAATCTCAACTTTCTTGCCCAACTGTCTTTCCCTCTCACCTGCTGGCACAACATCAACTCTGGATTAATACAACTGTCTGATATTTCAAAAGAGCCTGGTGATATAGTGGTTGCATGCTGGGCGCTAACTGCAAGGTCAGAAGTTCTAACATACCAGCTGCCTTTCAGGAGCAAGAAGAGGCTTTCTACTCCTTTAAGAGACACGGTCTCAGAAATTCACAAGAGCAGTTCTGCCGTGCACTATGGGATCGCTGACAGTGAGAGTTTAAGAGAGCCTACTATCTCTGCCCCTCTATTCAAATGGCTATGAACTGCCATCAAATGCTACCGTGGAAGCCTGATAGCATTGTGGGTTTCACGTTGGGCTGCCACTGCAAGGTCAACAGTTCAAAACTACCAACTGGGCTGAGAGAGCGAGAGGAGGCTTTCTATTCCTATAAAGGTTTACAACCTTGAAGGGCAGGAATCGACTCAACGGTAGTGAGTTTGAGTGAGCCACAAAAAGGAACCCTATGGTCATCTAGGTAAGTAAAACTGTCATCACCCGGATCCTTATCACATTACTAGACACCCCCTTTTAAGTGTCCCCAATTAGCTCTTTCTCCAAATCTCCCTAGAGCTAATATGAATATTTTTTCACTCCCTCTAGCCTCCTATCTCTCAAGCATTCCTTTCCTCCTTAGCTCCAAGATAGGATTGGGTCTCTGTACTATGAGTTCTAACAGTATTCAGACAAAGCCCGGTCATAACCATGGTTTTGCTCTCTCTGTCCACTTAATTGTCCATATCGCCTATAGGACTTGTTCAACAAGTTCATCTTTTACTAAGCTTATTGGGGGAAATGAAAGAAATATACCATATTCTTTATTGAAAACATTGAACTGAATATAGCTCACGAGTAAATTCCAACTCATAGTGACTCATAGGGACAGACTTGAACTTTCTTTCCCCAGACTGTTTCCAAAGAATTACTCCTGTAATTCTTTACAGGAGTAGAAAGTCTCCTCTTTCTTCCCAGGAATGGCTGGTGGTTTCTAACTGCAGTACTGACTTTGCGGTTAGTAGCCCAAAGCATAGCCCACGATGCCACCAAAGCTCCTGCAGAATGGAGTAGAGTCCTAAATAAGTGCTCAAACATACTTCTTAAAAAGTGTTTTAAAAATTATGATGGCAACAAAGATACAAATGTGCTTGACACATGGATGCATGTGTGTATTGTGATAAGAGCTGTATGAGCCCCCAATAAAATGATTTTAAAACAAACAAAAACAACAACAAATATATTTCTTGAATATTAGGGGTTATCGCAGGAGTGTTATATCATTGGGGTCACCCTCTGGAATTTGCAGTATATGTTTTTTCATTTTGGGGGGTATGAAAACCAGGATTGGTGAACCTATAGAGTCAGCTAGTGGAATATAGGTTTTGAGGGGGAGGGATACACAGAGGAGGTGGTGGGGTGAAGGGGTGATGATGTCAAGGGGTCCATATAGAAAAATAATGTTTGGAAACTGATTGGGGTATCAAATGTACAATTCCGCAGGATGTGATTGAACTATGGAATGATTTGATATACGTATTAATTCCAATTAACAAAAAATAATCTTGAATGAGTAAATGAATGCATAAATAAATATTTGTTAAATGGATGGATATACCATATATAAATCTCATGGTTATTCTAAGAGCCAATTAATTAGCCCTTGGCTAATTAAGTTCAGAGAGGAAAAGTGAGGAATGAAAACAAAAAACACAAGTAGCAAATGGGATAAGTGGTAGTACATGTATGTATGTAAGATAGTGCAATGGATATTTAAAACAGACAGTGTGTGAATTGTTGACTGTAAAACTAATTATCTGCTTTGTAAGTCTTCACTTAATTCACAATAAAAAGTTTTTTTTAAGCCCCTTAATTAATCAAGCCTATGAAACCTCAGGGGATGAGAAAAAGGAAATATAGTTTCAAAAATTTGTAACAGATGTATAAATATAGCTAGTTAAGAGTTTATTATTATTTCTATTCCAGGGTTAAAAAAAATGAAAGTTGGTTCCATATGTATAACAGGAACTGATAGAACAGGCAGAAGTCTTTTTGTTTGTTTGTTTGTTTGTTTTTGCCAATCTAGAAGGAAACGTAAGTATCCTTCTAAGTATCTAAGTATCATGACATCGTATCACAGTCGTCTGACGTGAAGTAAGCATTTACTTTATGAGGGCTTCGTTCACTTCCCCCTTTTGATGTGAGGCACAGCTGCATGGTGGCAATCACCGACAGGACAGTTGGGCTTCCTACGGAACAACTAGACACCTGAAAGGGGATTTTTTTTAAAGTGTTTCTCTGCAATATCAGTGGTGTCCATCTTCGTATTAGCATTATGGGACTTTGTGGCCTCCGTCTGTGGCAGCAATCTCGTGCTGTGAGTCAGACGGAAGGGAGCCAGGGCCCTTAAACACTCACCCTGACATTGTGAGGGTGAAGTCCTCCTGGATGCTGAGACATATACTGGGCCAGATCTGTGTGCTAAACAAAAACGGTGGAGGAAGAGAAGAGAGGCTGAAATCAGTGGTGGTTGGACAGTCATCCTCAAACAGGGCACGGACTTCACTGCCAGAAGAGATTATGAAGTTCAGAATTTTTGACAGTAAGGTACAGAAGAAACGCAACTCTGTTTTTCTGAGGCTACTGCTGAGAGCAAACGTGATGTCTTTGTAGCATGGCTGCTGTTAGACAGAAGCTTGCCTCTGGGCACAGAGATGCTCATTTTAAATGCCTGCCACTGAGCACACAGGAGCACTGGGTGGCACAGTTGTCATGTGTCCAGCTGGGATCTGGAAGGTCGGCAGTTCAATACCACCAGCCGTTCTAAGGGAGGAAGACAGGGCTTTCTACTCCCGTAAAGAGTTATAGTCTTGAAACCCATAGGAGCAGTTCTACCCTGCCCTGTAGGGGTCACTATGAGTCAGAATCGACTCAATAGCAGCGAGAGTTGAGAGAGTCTGCTCTCTCTGCCTCTCTATTCAAATTGCTGTGAACTGCTATAAAAAGGTGGAGACCGGGTAGCATCGTGGGGTTCATTTGGGGGCTGCTACTACAAAGTCAGCAGTTCAAAAACACCAGCCGGTCTTAGCGAGAAAGATGAGGCTTTCTACTCCCATAAAGATTCACAAGCTCAAAAACCTACAGAGCCAGTTCTGTCCTGTCCTCTCGGGCCATTATGAGTCGGCATCAACTGGGTGGTCGTGAGTTTGGTGGGCGGTCGTGAGTTTGCCACTGAACACAAGGACACAATGTCCTTAGTGGCAGGTCCAGTGCACAGAACCTTATACTATCTTTCTGGTCTTTTGAATAATTTTTTCTTCTCAAAAATACAAAATGAATGGCTGTTAGTATGTGAGTATGATTAAGGTGACCAGATTTTAACATTGGTAAGGTGGGACACCATTGATAAAACTCATATCCCAGCTAAATAGCCACATGGCAGCTGAAAACCGTATACCCTAGCTTGTCGTGCATTCTTTCCAAAAATTGGGACTTTTTAAAAATGCTGCAGGATGCAGGAAAAAGTGTTTAAAATCGGGACTGTCCCACCAAAAGCAGGACATCTGGTCACCTTATTATTAAAAACAAGCCCCCCCCAAACCCTCTGTGGTTCATGTCTTCGTTGCTAATGTAAAAGATGTTGGGTTCTGCCCAGACAGTGATTAAGAATAAATTTAAAACCACAATAGTTGTGTTTAGGGGACAAACTCCAGTGTTCACTGTTTACTGCTGCTGTGGGAATAGCAAAAGTAGTGGATAGAGGAGCAGGACTAAAGTATAGGTGCAGACCCCATATGCTTCCACTAATCAGAACAATGAAAGTTTCCATACCTTTCACATTGTAGTGAAAGTTTTATCATGCCATAAAATATCAACAGATTCATTATACACACACCAGACATTGTCTTTATGCTTTGTAAAATGCTGGAGCAACTCACCATGTATTCAAAAACGAACGTCAGTGTCTCTTTGGTGTGGATTATGTCATGCAGGAGCACAATATTGGCATGTTTCAAACCTTTCAGGAGAGAAGCTAGAAATATTAAGCAAAATGTTAAACCAAGCATTTTAAAAAATATTTTAAAAACATTTTATTAGGGGCTCATACAACTGTTATC